TTCGAGCCCAACATAGGGATCTAAGATTTTTTGGAGCCCCAAACACATGCTCACTAAGTGTTGGTTGCTTTTGGGCTAAGTGCTGTTTGTGAGGGGTGGCTCTTTCAAAGAGCAGCAGGGGTTCAGGGTTCGGGGGGGATCCCTTTTGCCGCCTCTTTTCGAAATCCATGCCATTTTTCTGCGCTTTGCGCAAAAACACTGCCTTTGAGAAGCACCAGCTTCCTAGCTGGATCATCGACTTAAGGCATGGCCCCTTACAGGGTTCAGGGCTCAGCATCTAGGAATCAAAGTGAAAGGATTAGGGAGTAGCTAGGGCAGCCTATGGCAGAGGACATCCAGTTGGTCCCACCTGACTTACCCCCAGTGTTCTGTGTTTTAGATACTGCCCCAGCCTAGGACGCTTCACTTTGATATGTGTAGTGATATGACGCCTTCAATATTGTTCACATATGAGTGTTATAGTGTTGTGGCAGTTTGGGCAGTATCCAACATATAGCGTGAAGTGGCAGACTCGATGAATTTTTGGTCTTTGTGGTATAGAGGTATGTGGTTGCAGATCAGAGACATGTAGTCTTTCAACTCTGTCTTCTTTCGTTGGTTGATATCGGCTGGGTTCACTTGGGCGACATGGCGTTCAAGTTTAAGGAGGCCTCAGAACTTGTCTGCCCCAACAGCTCGAAAGAGTAGAACATGGCTCGCCTCCCCAGAAAACATCAGTGGAAGTAGCTCAGACTGCGTCAATCCCTAAGAGCTTCGCTACTCTGCCCACCATCTAAATCCCAAACCTTGTATCCACCACCCCTTGACCCCTAAACCCTAGCCCCAAACCTTTAAAGTTTTAGAGTCCAAGAGCGCGCTCCCTGCCAACAGCAAAGCAGGAGCTGATTTTGGAGGCATGTGCTAATGCGCGCGCCCCAGCACCCACCGATCTTGCAGGAAATACGCAGGACAAATCTGGGTTTAGGGTTTAGGGTTTAGGGGGGTTTAGGGTTTAGGGTTTAGGGTAGAGATCAACACTGTAGGTTGGAGGTGACAGCATTGAGTTTGCAGTCCCTCGTGGTATTTGGTAGTTCCCCAAAATAGGGGGACCCCAATATAGAGACCCAAATATTACAGTCCTGATTATGAGGATCCCCCCACAAAGCACAATGTTGGAAATCCTTTATTTTGCAATGAAACTGTTATGGTCAGCACACAGAGGTCCAGTAATGGTCTGCGGCTTACGTTACCGTTTCCCCGGTCCTTTCGGCATTGTTGCCAGGGATCATTCCAGATGAGGGATCAGCAGTCACAAGCTGCGGCTTATAATCCCCAAATACGTAGTGTCTTTTATCTTTTCCATTATCTCCATATAGCCCCTATATAACCCATTATTATAGTAGTTTCCATGTTCTTTTCCATTATTCCCTACGTATCCCCCATTAGGATTGATTAGTAGTCTCCATGTTTTCTTCCATTCTCCCCTATAGCCTATATGATCCCCATCATCTCTCAACCTAAGGCTGCGGCATTGCAAAAATGCAAAGATGACAGTACTTGGAGCGTCAGGGGACTTAGTAAGTAGGTTAATACTTAGGCTAACTAGGGTTACTATATGGGTCATAGGGGCCATTGACCTACTTACTAATCCCCCCTGACCCTCCAAGTAGTATCCCTCGCTAGGCTGTCTTTGAACAGGCTTTGCTAGCTTAAGATGGCTGTTAACTAGAATATGGTATACGGCTCAGCTTCCTTCTTCTTCGTCACAGCAAGATTCGGTATATCAAAGGATTAACCTATAACAAGAGGCTGTACAGCATTTCATAACCGAATTTATGTAAGGCATTTCCCGACTGAAAGTGTGAACTCAAAGCACTCTCGCGCCAGAGTGACCAGGCAATCTTGCATGCGTACTTGCTACTTAGCAGTCTCCAAGCCAAGGCACCTGTTTTGCAGGATCGTATGCGCTATACTCTAAACTCCTTATAGGGAATTATATAGGGGATTGCATAGGTTATTAAGGGGGATACTAGGAGTCTACTATGGCTCATATTAACATAGGTGTTTTGAGGGAGTCCTTCTCGAGGTCCGCTTCTGAGGAATTGTGTTTTTTAGAGCTGCCCCTTCATAAAAACTAACCCCCCGGGAGGTCCCAAAAGCCGGGTGCCCTTGTGTAAAGCTCACTGACAATTGTGAAACGCAACCCTTACGTCAGTCCTTGGAAGTGCCCTCATATTTCCCAAAATAGGTGAACCCCAATATAGACCCCAATGCTTTCCCAGCATCCTGGAAACCTTTGTTAGGATTAAAGCGGGTTGTTTCGTAAAGCTTCCAGATGTCTGAAGCTCCTATTCCAAACATGCCAAAACCTTAAACCCTAAACCCTAAACCTTAAGCCCTACATAAACTGTAAACTCGAAGCTGGTGAATTTCTGTGGCAAGGCCTGCAAGGATGACACCATCCGGCTCTTTCCATTTCGGTATGGCAATCCGGAAGCCCTCTTGGAGGCTTGGGGTTTAGGGTTTAGGGTTTAGGGTTTAGGGGATTAGGATTTTGGGCTTTGGGTTTTGGGCTTTGGGATTAGGGGAGCTAGGGTCTGGATTGGGGGCTTAGGGTTCACATTCGCCCCAGCGAACATGGAACCTGATAAGGGCCGTATAAAGACGAATAACATAGTAGTTTCCATTTTCTTTTCCAATATCCCAATACAAACCCCTATATAGTATTGGTAATTATTTATGCCCCTGTAGTATCTATCATCTATCGTCCCTCTAGCGCTGGGGGCTATGTAAAGTCTCACGGTGCTTACGGCGAGAGTACCTAAAGCCTCCAATGTAGTACCTTTTTGGTAGTCCTAATAAGAGACCAAACCAAAAACCATACCAAACCCAAAAAGGAATTGCGTTGGAGGGTCTCGGTAGGGTTTAAGATTTCTGCTTGAACCTCGGATGGATCACCCAGGCGTCTTAGAAACTGCAGAGGCCCTTGCCTACTTCAGTTCTTAACCCTGACAATGAGACAGCTCACCATTTTTGAATCCTCCCTCGCCAAGAATCCCAGATCCCTAAACACCAAAAATCGATGCAGAAACCCTAAACCATGAGTCCAGAAACACAGCCAGGAATGCCACGAAGGAAAGCGCTTCCTCTCCGAGAGGCGGGCTTCGGAAGAAGCTGCTAAGATCCGGAGAAGGTTATCGTGCAATAGATGTATTCCTCTACACGCTGAACCTCTAAACCCTTAACCCTAAAGGCTGCTGGATAGGGATAAGCGATAGAGGTGCATTCTAGATCTCTTCACCAGGGACAGGTTGGCCCCCTAGAAGTAAGCAACCCAGGCTAGCGGGAAAGCCCATCAAAGGAGGACAATCTCGCTGTCCGTGAGCGCTCAACCTTAAATCTTAATTCTTACCCCGTGAGCCTTTGCAGCCAACCCCCTAATTCTACAAACCTAAACCCCAAAACCCTTAGCGCCAAACGCCTGGCCCTTTAATGTTTAACCAGCAACCTTATAGATCCTACCTGGAGGGTCAGGCAGACTCAGTAAGTAGTTAGTAACCGTTATAATCCAGATAGTAGCTCTGGTTATTAACCTGCTTACGATGTCTCCCTGGCACCAAACCCTAGACCCTAAATGATATGTAGTTGTTTTCATGTTTCTTTGACATTATCCTAACATAACCCCTATAGTGTTAGTACTAAGGCCCCCTGACCCTAAACCCTAAATCCTACACCCTAAACAAGATTGCGGTTTCCATTTTCTTTTCCATTCTTAACCTACTTCCGAAGTCCCCCTGGCCCTCCAAGTCCAGAAGGTGCCCGGGCCATCCTCCCTAATCCCTAAACCCTAGCCAGGATGCATCAAGGCTGGCTTGATAAAGTCAACATGCGACGCAGTTGCACTGGCTACCAGTAGGCTTAAGGGGGAGCGGGGGAGTAAATTCAGGTACCGTTATGTAATGTATGGGTTTAGAGTTTAGGGTAGTAGGGGTATATATGGGGATTATATTTAGGCGTTGTCATAGGGATCCAGTCTCCCACTCTCCTGTAAGCACCAGAAGGGCTAAGAGTTAAGAATAACGGGTATTCAGGATACGTCGTGTTGTAGGGCTTATTGTTAAGGATTTGCGTTTAAGGTATGTAAGCATTTAAGGCTCGGAATTTGCTGTCTCAGTCTTCTTTGAGAGCTTCAAGCTAAGGGCTACGGTTGCAGAATTCGTTATAGACTTTATAGTTGTTTATATTTTCTTTTCCACTATCCCAATATTACCCCAATGTTCAATACACTACAGGAGTTACCATGTTCTTTTTCGTTATCCCCTAATCCCAAACAACATTGTTGCTTCCATTTTCTTTTCCAGTATTAACCTACTTCCTAAGCCCTCCCCTGGGGTTTACCTTTACTCATTTTCAAGAGCGGACCGCAAACATTTTGCTTGGCAATCACGAGCTTCTTTCGTGTTGCGAAGCGACGTACTGTAACTGTTATACAGATGATTGATGGCTTGGCTGTTTACAAGCTTGATCTTGCAATGAAGAACAATAATGCTCGCGACACTAAGAAAAACAGCAGGAAGCAGCGATGATCACTATGAAGTCGATTGAATGGGACACCAGCAACTAGAATTAGAACATGAAGGAAGCGGAGGAAGAATCGGAACAAGAATTAGGTAGCCATTAAACATAAAGTACTCATCAAGATGCACCTGCGATCGTTGCATGTGCTCTTGGCAGCTTGCGAACAGGCCAAGGTTTGTAGACGTGTTGAGAACGGCGGAACCCAACATCAAGATCCCTGCAGGCAACGTTAAACCCAAATACTAGATCCTCTCATGTGGGCCATATCATAGACTCTTTCACGGTGATTCGGGTGGTCATGATACTTGATAGGCGTGCGTAGAATTTTGACTGCAGTGTGATGTTTAGCTTGCTCAGGCCATAGGCTGCTCAATTACCCATTCAAATTCCAAAAGAGGGTTGCATTGTTCATATGGTGGAAATACGGGGACCCCAACATGCACTCCAAAATACTCCGCCTCTTTTTGAAGGAAACCCCAGAACGGTAGCCCTACTTCGGGAACCCCCACCCCCCATTTATACGCATGGGTATCACAAGATCATGCCTAGAACGATTGTGAGAGCACATGAGCGTCGTCCGTCCTAACAATGTGAGCATATGGAAGCAACAAGACTGTGCTGGGCAGTCAGTCTTCTCCAATAGCTCGAGCTTGGCATCCTGCTCAGAAGCATGCAGGTAGGTGCCTAGCTTTTGACTTTTGAGTTGCACCTAAATTTCCATGTCCTTTTCCATCTTCTGTTCCATTTGATTCTTGATTATGGGGGGGGTAAAGGGTAACCCTAATTTTGGGAAACCCTTGTGGCATTGGAGAAGCCGGAAGTGAGGCTGACATATCCTCTTGTGCAAGACCACAACGCGACGAATCAAAAGCTTCCGGAGAAGGAAGCACCAGAATCCTTCGGTGCCTTTTTGCGGGCAACGGCAACGTCTTGAAAGGGTTGGTATCGTTTTCTGAGTTGCCTCCTAGTCACTGCCACTGCTTGTGGTGCATTAGGGTATTTGGGTAGTGGCCAAGCCGGGGGCTTTCAAGGGCATTTTTCAATACCAACTAGGAAGTCCTTTGTTGCTTCACACAGCGCATCCCTAGTGTCTGCAAGTTCACTATGGTAGGTGCGGCATTTGCAGTCATTGCAGCTTAGTCTCGGCGCTATTGCCATTAAGAAGTTACACTCACTTCAGTTTCGCTTGGGGTGCAGGAAGCAGATGTCACATGTTTGTTCATGTGTGGCTTGTCCGGATCTTACCATGACAAATCCTCTGGTCACATGTCAACAGAGCATTCACATGAGAATGGTGGCCTGGATTGCTTGCATGTTCAAGTAGCAGCGTGTAACACTGGAAGGCTGACGCGCAACAGAGGGATGGTAGATGAGCGTGTCACGCATGAGCTTTCGGCACCCAAATTTGTCTGGTCACAAAGCAGCACGTAGTCCTCGACCTGCAAGGGGGACCAACATACCTAGAAGGAAGCATGTGAGAGATCACCAATTCCAGGACCGCCAGTCGTTTGATGATTACGACTCATGGGCCTCTTGCCTGAGTGTAGGTTGGAAGGAATGTCAAGTTCTACGGCTGTTGTCATTGTGTGTTGACGGCGAGGCATGTGCTACACCTGCATGCAGTGCGGGGAATTCCAGAGCCAGGTGTTCAAGATGTGAAAACGGGCTATTGGATTCGGAGCTGCCAATTCGTGGAACTGAAGTAAATCTTAGGGAAGGCTCCAGTCACCAGTCCTATGTAGCTCCGGATTGAGTAACAACAGGGTTGCAGACGAGCCTTGACTGACCAGTCTCTCACAGCTTCTTGCGAGATCTGCATTGGCGTGAATGAAGGGGTCTCCTTTTTGAATATCCTACTGCATGGTCCTCATACTGAAGGGGGAACTCTAAGAGGATTTATGTACTCACTGCTAAACCCTAAATCCCTAAACCCCAAACCCCCAAAAGCTCCATTATGAGAGGTCGCTTGCGCTGACTCGACTGGCCGCATCTACCTCTTCCCCCAGGACGAGGAGTCCAAGGCCTCGGATGTTTGATGATGTCGCAACCATGGGGCATAAATAGCCTTAGGGATAATGGAAAAGAAAATGGAAACTACTATAGTATAATGGGGTATATATATTGGTGTTATTTTGGGTTTATATGGGGATAATGGAAATAAGATGGAAACTACTATATTATATAGGGATTATATAGGGGGTATATTGGGTTTAGGGTTATATAGGGTTTAGGGTTCTCAAAATTATGGTCCCTTTTTGGGTCCCCATTATAATACGGCACCTAATATTTAGAGTACCCAAAAAGGGACCCTAATTTCGACAACCACCCATAAAGGGATAGTGGAGAATAACATGGAAACTACTACGGGGTTTAGAGTTCAGGGTTATCTGTGGATAATGGAAAATGACCTGCAAACTACCATAGGATTTAGCATTATCTGTGGATAATGGAAATAAGATGGAAACTACTATAAGGGGATATGGGGGATATACGCAGATCCTTGCGCAAAGCAATGTGAGCTACGGACTAGATTTAGTTTGGGGGGACCTACAGGGGATATATCGGGGGGGTACAGGGGGACCTGTTTAAGGGATATACAACAATTTTGGTCCAAGTCTCATGTGGCAGTGGAAGCCAGATGTGGGATCATCTTAGCATCGGTCTTGTGATTGGGGTAGCAGAACCGAAGTCTTCCTGCTATAGTGTCGGCCTCAAGATCTAGCAAGAGGTTGACTCGCAATAAGAGTGAGGGCCAGAAAGCTTATCTATTTCTCCCCTCAGCCGTGGGTACACGTTGCTCACCTGCATTGGGCTTTGTGGATCATACAGTACAAAAGCCATCAGCTACATGTAAACCCAATATATACCCCATTAAACTGTAGTAGTTTCCATTTTCTTTTTCCATTATCCCTAAATAACCCCAACATAACCCCTATATAACCCCTATATAACCCATTATAGTAGTTTCCATTTTTCTTTTCCATTATCCCCAATATAACCCCAATATAAGCCCTAGACCCTAATCCCTATATAACCCCATTATAGTAGCTTCCATTTTCTTTTCCATTATCCCCTATTAACCCCTGTAGAATCCCTATGTAATCCCTATAAAGTCCAGTATCTTTGCGGCCAGGCCCGGGCCCGTGATGCTTTTCACCCATGGTTATATAGGGATAATGGAAAAGAAAATGGAAACTACTATAGTATAATGGGGTATATATTGGGGTTATAATATATACCCCAATATTATACCCCCATTATACTATAGTAGTTTAGACTAATAACTGTGGTTCAACGGAAGGCGACCAGGCAGAATGTGACAAACGCTAGTACTTGTGTCGCTAGCGATCCGAGTAGCTTGCTTTGGCATTCGCGCCTGGGCTTCTGCCTCACCAGCATTAGCGCGTTACCCGACCAGCGGCAGACGCGGGGCAGCAAAGTTCAAAGCATCAATTGCTCACAATAGGAAGAACGCACAAGGGCAACCATCATGCTGCCGTTGCCGGCCATAAAGCGTGTGTGCAAACAACCCGGAGGAACACCCAGCCGAGTTCCCCCCAGGGTACCCCATTTCTTTGCCAGACCTTCTTGTAGCTATTAGCTTATACGTTTACATGCGGGAAGCTGGATCTCCATGAGCTGGTGCTTGTCTTGCAGGTGCCACCCTGTGTCCGCCTGGCCCCTACTGACAGCTGCAGTAGATGAGTTGGGCTTAACATGTGGGGAACGGCAAGTAAAGGGCGTGCACAGGATACTGGTATGAGGCTAAAACAACTAGGTCTGGTGTAGGTTTGTGACATCATTGAAAATTGGGCAGAGATGGCACTGCCATCAAGATTGCGACCTTCAAAGCTGTTTAATCCAAAGTTCAACTTTTGAGGATGCATACATGCCTGTTCTCTGCATGCCACAGATCCACGTATGTTGCCGGGCGTGTCTCAACTTGAGGTTGTGCGTGAACAGTTAGGGGACGAATATGCGTGATATGGAATGCTGGCTGGAAAATTTACAACTGGAAAGGAGACTCCTATATAATGTAGTTTATCCCAATGTACCCCCTATAAAATCCCTATATAATATAATACAGTAGTTTTCATTTCATTTTCCAGCATCCCAATATAACCCCAATAGTGGATGGTCTTGAGAAGCTCCCTGCTAAGGGAACCCTCGCAATCATCAGAAAGCAGTTCTGGACTTTGCCGTGGACTGGTCCTGCCAGCATTGTTTGGAGCAAAGACTTTGCTGCTGTCCTATCCTTAGTGTGGGGGTTAGTAGGGAACAAGGGAATATTTTGTTTATATAGGGTATCTATAGGGATAAGATAAGGATTATTTTCCCCTATTCCCTACTATGAACCAGTAAGTATCTGCAGATATAGAATGCCATGAGGACAGTCATACAGTGCTAATCTGTTCTGGGTGTTGAGCAATTGCCTTATTGACTTTCCACGCCGTCTTTAGGGCTTTTGGTTGGCACTTCATGAGCAGAATCAATGTCCTGCTGTTCGCAGAAACGGCCGCGATCAAGATGAAGGAGCCCCAGCATGTTCGTCATGAAATGCTTACGGTTGTATGGGGGTTTCCTCAAGCTAGGGGTGCCTCTTTGGGGGGTCCCCATAAAAGTAAGGATTGTAGTATATTGGCGTCTATATTGCAGGTTGTGATGTCTGGGAGAGTGCAACAGATGTATTCAGGCTGCCGCGCTGCATCAGGTATGGAATTCTGGCACTTACTGTCCAGGCACAGCCTAAGCTAAAGGCCTCGTCACACCAGAGTCTCAACCTGCATGAGGAAAATTGAAACTGTCATAGTGCATTGAGGTAAGATGGGATATTCTACTTACTCTGGTTAGCAGGGAATAAGGGAAGATAGTCCCATGTGGTCACTTTCTGCGCTGAGGGATTCCTAGATCCTAGAGCTTGTGATTGCACGCTATATCCCTGTCGTAGAACATCCCAACAAACTCTCAAGAGTGTTCCACCGCTCGAGATTCGCACTCAGCAACAGCCCAGTTCGAGACGTGTTCGACCCTACAGTCTACAAGTTATTTTCTTGCTCCCTGCCTGTTCGTTGGGTTTATCTTTGTTGCCTGTCTGCACTATTGTGGGTTGGTGGCTGCAGCGGTTACCGGAACTGAACCATCCAAAGGCCACTTACCCGCCTTAACTGCCCAACCCCCCCAACCCCCCCCGGCCCCAGACCTTACTGGTGGTTAGTAGGGAATGGAGTAGGGGACTGGTAAGTCCGGGCATGTTTTCCTCCACCGACCACTACCTGGACCCCTAGAGTAGGGCAAGACACTAGCTTAAAGCCCGTATAAAAAATATATATATATATATGTATACAAAAGGCCAGTATTGTAGACAACTATACATCCCTAGTTTGCCCCGATGTAACCCCTGTAGATCTCTGTGAAGCTATTGGAAAACACAATGCCAGGGAGAACATGCGCTGCGTCTCGGCGGGCGTTGATGGCATCATTGTCTTCCACGATCTCAAGAGCCTTGAAATACCAGTGGTTTTGGGTTTAGGGTTCCAGGGTTGTACCTCGAACTGGTTTTCCTAACATGGCCACAAAATAACCTGTTTATTGACCTATGTAATCCCCTGGAATTCTTTAAAAGTATCCCGGAAACCCACAACTCTAGGGTCACAACCCTAGAGCCCTTCACTGCTACTGTTCATGACCAATAATATCCTGCAGGACCCTAGGTATCACACAGTACCATAATTCCTAGGTTTGGGGTATACAGGGTCATGCAGGAGTTTGTCCATCAACCGTATTCCTATGACTATTAGTACCACTACAACAAGTACTAAGAGTACTAGTTAATATTATTCCCAGCACCAATGTTACTGTCAGTTTCCTTTGGGGGCGAGGCGTCCCGGGTAAGATTTAAAACTGGTCTGCGCGGTGCCCTACAGTGAGCTGGAGCAGGATTCCATGTCAGCTGTTGAACAAGCGTTGGTGAAATCCCGTCTGGAGCGCTCGTTCTCTGACAGCACCGGCAACTAGATGCTACCAGGTAGCAAGACAGCAGTCCAAATTGTTATGTTTCTTGAATTGCATTACAACATCACCTGCGAGTTGTTCCAACTCACCGTCTGCGGACAAATACATGCCTGCTGGTACTGCTTAGACATGTTGCTTCAGAGCAAGAAGAGCCTATTTAACCTAATTCATGAGCAAGGAAAAGATTACCATACACCAGCCCCACAACAAATACATCTTGGGGGGATGCTCAAAAATGCTTCCGCCGGGAATCCTAGGTGAATTCTTTTTCTATGTGTTTAAAGGCATGTACACCCAGGAATCACCCCTTCCCAATCCCTATTTGCATGTCAGCTGCCATACAGCAGAATCCTGTACTTATTCCTCAGGCCTGTACACTAGCGCTTCGCGAACCCCAGGAAGCGAAGCTAGTATTTGCTGGCACCATCCCGTCCATCCAAGAACTTGTTTGAAAGCTGCCAAACATGAAACATTACAAAGCGTCTGACAGAGAGCACAGTCCTTTCGAAACGAGCGGTTTAAATTGGGTAAGTAGATACTCAGGGTCCCCTTATGCAAGACCCAGGATCTTAGGATCCTTGTCGGGGCACCCCCCGAATCCCCCCTGTCAACTTGCTCCTGTAGGGTATACCACAGTCCCTGAAAGAGATGATGAAAACCGGCTAAGGACCGATGAGCCGCAGCACATGCTGATGGTTGCAGGGGAACCTTTGACAAAGCTATGGCTTTGGGTAATATATGGGTTATATAGGGGTTATATAGGGATAATGGAAAAGAAAATGGAAACTACTATTTAGAGTTTAGGGTTTGGGGTTTATAGTCCAGAGAGCGGTTGAGTAATAGTGGGCTTGTCAGGGAGTATACGGGCATATATAGAGGTAAGCTGTAGCAAGTTGGGAATGACAGGATTTAGGATTGTCGGAGGGAAAGCTCGCAAGGTTCGACCCGTGTCAAATATGCCTATGTATGGATGAGATGTTTCTCGGAATCCTTGCCGCAAGGAAATACAAAGAAGTCGTCATGTCAAAATGAACCAATTTCCCGTTCACACCCAAACCCTAAACCCTAAACCCTATAGACCCTAAACCCAAAACATGCCTCAATTTGACGTCATCGCCGGAGCTGTAGCCATAGCGATTCCTGTAAAAAGCCTTCATGCCGGCTTGTTTCTCATGTTTGGGCGGCTTTTCAGGGTATTCTTCCGCAGTGAAGCTTAGCTTGCATGCCTTCTCTGCCGAGGACGCGTGCAGTGCCACTGATAAAGTACTTTACACCTAGTTTAGGGGAATAGGGTTCAATATTAAGGGAAACAAGGCTGGGTACATCTAACGGATATTATCAGATTTCTCTGTCTGGCCTTAGTAGAGTGCCAGTTTCAGCATCCCACTTGTTGCATTTCAGAGAACCAAGGTGCTACAAGCCCTACACCTAGGAGTCTTACCCTAAACCCTGACCGCTAAACCCTAGCCCCCTTAACCCTTAACCCAAGCCCTACTAACCCTAAACCCTTAACCTTTGACCCTAAACCCAAGCCCTACTAACCCTAAACCCTGAACCCTGAACCCTACCAGTGCAGTTGTGAAGTCTTGAACCTAGACTGAACCTGAGGGCCCCATAGCTCTGTGAGCCTGTACCCACCCTAGACCCTATACCTGGCTCTTACTAGGGAATAAAGGAACAGAAAATGGAAACTGTTATCGTATATTAGATGTAAGTATGTGGGGATATCATACTTGCTGGTTCTTAGTTCGGGAATAAAGGTATATGATAGAAAGGGATTATTTTTGCTCTCCCTGAGCGTCAGTAAGTAAGTTTAGGGTCACAGAGAGCCCCAGGAATGTAACCTTTCAGCGGTACACGACTTCTGGAGCACTCTGGATGTGGACTTTCAACTTGTACCCGGGCCGCAATCAATGTTGGAAATTCTGAAATTCTGGGACCCTAAATCCCCTCAAATCCTGACATCCTTATCCACAAAACACTAAACCATTAGGCCGTAAAACCTACACCTTGGGTTACTACCCCCAATCTGTAACAGCTGGATACAACTTGTAGTACAGTTATACACAGCGCTTAATATAACCGCTAATATAGACTGTGAAGGGGTGGGGGCAGTACCCAACCCACACCCCAAGTGTGGGGGTTCTATGGGGTTGATACCAGGAAAGGCTCCCCTCTCCGCACTTCAGGTAGGACCCTTCCAATCTACTGTTCAGAGAGTACATGAGCTACAGTCTAAACTCCTTAAAGGGGGCTATATATGGAGTTTTATAGGGTTTACTAAGGGGTACAAGGAGTTTAGAATGTAGCTCATATGGAACAGGGCTCCTTTTTGGGGGGGTGGACGTGAGAGAATCTCTTCTGCAGCTTCTGTGGTCAAAAAGGGTCTGATTCTGGCATTGCGCGTCTCAACTACGCGCGTGTTTTTCTTAATGCGGGTGTTTTTTTCGCAATCATTGGTGTTTGTGCCGGGGTTCGAGTTTCGAGTGCGCTTGTGTTCCTTGAAAAAGCTGCATTTTGGAGAGCTTGGTGTGGAATGCTGGAACAACCCTTTTCTGGCCCAGGTCAAGAATACATTTGAGTTAGTTTAGCAATTAGTGCATTACAAGCACGATCGAAATCGTCAACCATACATGATGTGGAATAGAACTGCTTGTATCACTCCAAGAAGGCCCCAGATGTATCATGGCTGATCAGCCCTGGTACTGACTCGCGATTTCTTGCCTCCTGCCATGCGAGCACCCTGCGAAGACCCGCTTTCTGCAGTCTGCAAGGCTCTGTAAAGATCTGCCCCTGTCTCCTTAGTGCTTGGTAGTGAGCAGAGGACAAGACTTTCAGCACCATCATCTGGGTTTACGTGCCGCATAGCTACTGTAGTGATTTGTTTCTTCCCTACGCAGCACCAGCTAGCCTTTTCCTGCTTGTCCACTGCAGTGCTTTTTTGCAAAGCCCTGGAGACCGCTGTGGCCACGTCTTTTGCCTGGTTTTTCGAGATGCAATCTTCTACCCCGATGGCAATGGGCAGACAAGAGCTGCAGTAAAATGGCCCAGGAAGTGTTCCAAGGCGGGCCCAATCCCGAAACAAGACTGCCAACTCGGAGGCTTCAAGACTAGCACGGGGTTGGGTGAAATGACATCTCCAAGCCGGAGTTGCCCAAAAATGTGTTCAACATCCAAAGATCTCGAACGTTCCTTTGATCGATGCCTCGAGCCTGCATCCTCTGCATCACACCTGTGGGCCTGATGGACCTTGAGCAATTCACCTAAACCCAGAACCCCCAAAGCCTACATCCAGAAAAAAACATCTCCAAAGTCAGGGCAAGATGTCCGCGGGCCTCTCCAGTGGTCACGTGCAGTTGGTGGACTTGCAGGTTGGAAAGCCCCTAGACTGTATGTTGGAGCTCTCTGCTCTAAGGCTCGAAGTATGGGCCCCTAACATGGGCCCTTGGGCCTTTTAGGAGTGTATGTCAGGACTTGCTGGTAGCAAGCTTTGTGGGTTCGGGCTCGAAACCTTTGGGTTTGAGGCGCCTTGTATGGGCATCGAGCTTTCAAGCCACCCCTTCATCCCGGCAACCCCAAGCACCAGGGCCTACAAACGTTTGACCCTATAGAAGTAGATGGAATATGGCTTTGGGTATATTATAATAAGATCCCCATATACTCCATATTCTATCTACTTGAGGGGGACCATAAACCCATAAATCCCTTCCGCATAAACAAAACCCACTGGCCACGACGCCCAGGGCGGTGTACATGTTTCCCTGCCACAACAGATTGATCCGGCGAGCTTCTCGCCTAAAAGCAGCAAGCGCATCGAAGTTTGCGCCGAAAAGGCTTAGGGTTTTGCGCCTCTCGAAAACAAGTACTATAGTCGCGTATAAAGGGTAAGATCGCACGAAATAGATTTTCCCATAACACTTTTACAAGACTACTGCATGCATGCTTCATTCAGCCACCAAAACCAGCCATTTGGGATATTCAATTGATATTCATAGTTCGGGAAAGTCTAGTCAGGGGCCTTAAGTAGCCTTCTTGCGGAAAAAGAGTAGCCGTCAGGACGTTGGCACTGTTGTAAACTCTGTATAAGACACTCTGAATAGGACACCCTGTACTGTACATCCTCGGGCAGGGAGCTGGCCTCTGGTCTTGCTGCTTGTCAATTGGAATGAAGGAACCCGAAGGGAAGTGGAAACGGCTAGATTGCATTATATAGCAGCTACCATGTAAAGATGGGAAATTCCCCATATAGTACCATTTTAAACCTGGGGGAAGATGTAGACACAGGGGATAGCGGAGTTCATTCTTAGTGGAAGTGGGTACAGTGGCCACTGGGGCTTTTAACTTTTCGTTCGGAATGCGACATGCAGATCTGACTCCAGCTGAGGTTGCCACAGATTGGGCCGCCAACGAACTCGCATCTTGCTCCTATGATGGCGTGGGCCCAAGCTTTCGTGAAGCCCTGCTTATGGCAGCCGGGACACTTTCCCTAATCCAACTCTTCTGATGCTATGACGTTTTTCGTCGCATGTGATACTGAGCTTCCTGGAAAACGGAACACTTTTGACACCCGGAAAGATCTGTTTTCAGTGCAACTATGCTTTACACTCGTCTTCAACAGCGTGTACGGCCCTGAAGCCTAAGCCCTTAGCAGAAGTCCACGTAGTCGGAAGATGATGAAGGCAATCTTAGCTACATTTCTCCACGTCGAGAGGGTTGAGGAAACATGTGTGGATACCCTGCAGATTCAGTTGCAGGGTTATGTTGGGCTCATGCTTGAAATCTTGTTTCGGACTTGGGACCCTTGTTGCTGAGTATCCGGACTCTTGCGCTACACTTCTGCGTAGCAGGCAGACTCCTCCGATAGCCCAGGCGGACATCCGCTGGTAATCATCTGTCTCTACCATCCCCCTCCTCTGCACGGCAAGTAGCTCGATGTCATGCACCTGCTGGGGAGTAATGAGTAATGGGGACACTGCCTCCTGGTGGCTTCATCAAACCCAGCAAATTCTGAGCCCCCACAGTCAATGAGGTTAGCGGTTAACGCAGAAGCCTCAAGAGCGAAAGTCAGGCTGCATCAACCTCTCCGACCTGCGAACCGGGAAGGTGATTCGACAAATCCAGGGCCGTGGACAGTGGGCCGCACGACAGCAGCAAAGACTGACTTGGGTGGGTCAGCCCCAGAAATGGAGGCTTGGTGCCCCGGAGCGTAAGGTATACAGATAGAGTTCCTTGTGAAGATTTATTCTGAGGTCCAGGGGTGGGGTTTTGCTTCCTAGGAGGAGCGTGTGAACCTCGCCGCAAGCAAGTCATTGATCAGCGGCCACCACGCAGATGATGCATAATCTCCATGTGCTTCTCCTAAACCTTGTAGCGACTATGCTGGGTTGTATATAGCATTGGTGATGGCATGAGCGTAGTCATCGTCCTTGTCCTCAAAGTCGTGGTGGCGGTGGCCGTGGCCGTGGCGGGGGTGGCGGTGGCGGTGGTGTGGCCGTGGCGGCGTCGGCAGGCACTATGCCCTTCCTTGCTTGTGCCCCCGCATGAATATTTCCTAGATTTCCCTTGCCAGCCTACCACTACTAGTGCTAGTCGTCATCGCCGTCATCATGGTCGCCGCCATTTAGTAGTTTGGTTCTTCATTTCATTTGTTCATAGCATTCTCGCCAGGGCATGTTATTGTTGTCATTGCTTGTGTGCTTGTTCTGCTCAAAAGGATGCCATGGACGTGTCCTTCGACCAGCACCTTCTCCTGGCTTCATCAAAGTTCAAGCCGGCGACGATGCTTTGCGACCTGAGGTGCCATTGGGGTCCAGGTTATCACCCTCCCCAATTCAACATGGAATCTAGAAAAGCTCCATTGTAAAGGGCAGAAGTTTTCCAACTGTTGGGGATACTGTCAGTTTGGGGGGAGCGTAGGGAAGTAGGAAACGGATCCTTCTAGTAGGCCCTGCACAATGTCGAAGGGTCCTCCCTATCATCAATGCACCCATTCCCTGCTAAGCACCTGGGAGTGTGTCAGGTTCAGGTTTTGAGGTGCAGGAGATCGGGAAGGTACATTCCTAGATAGCAGCTGAACGGGAAGATCGGTCTGAGAAGGTGAGACGTCCTTCTTGGGTCCCTTGCTGTGGGTTTAGCAGCTGTTTCTGAAGGGATCTTGTGAGCTGTCAGAGGCTTCAGAGGATCGCTTTACTTGAGGACGTGGTTGCGCCATAGCTAGTTAGGCTGTACCAACTTGCGTGCTGACTCCAAGAAGGCTGCAGGCCCTCTTGCCCAGAAGTCTCAGCGGCATGACCGTGGGTTCTTACCAAAGTTGTTCTGGAGCATTTGCAATAAGGCGCGTCCTGAAACTAGTGGTGGTAGTGCCTGACTATTATCGCATGAAGCAGCCACATGTCTGACTAGCTGAGGGAATAAGTTTCGCGTGGCTAGATCGCCGTGCCTTCGTGTTGGCTGAAGCACGCTCCGATCCTGGTTATTTTGCTGATGCATGTTGCGGTGGCACGCAGAAGTTGAGACTGGGCAACAGGGTTGAAGAACGCTGCTGACAAAGTTTCAGACTTCCCCGCGGGTGCTTGTGCTTGCGAAGCACACTTTTGGGGTGTTGTCATTATGCTGAAGCCGTATGTACGTATGTACTTAATTCATTTGGGGAAGCGAGGCGTTCACAAAATTTCTCCTGGGATTGCCTTGTGTGCCGCACTCGGTTCGTGAGCTTGTAAGCCTCAAGGGATGCCGAGAATCTCAACACAAGGGCTGCCGCAGAAACGCAATGGCTAGGTTTGCTGCCTTGCCAAACCTAAATCCTGAACACTGCCTGAATCTTTCAAACTTTCTCTATATAACCCCATTATAGTAGTTTCCATCTTATTTTCCAGTGTCCCAAAATAACACCAATATAACCCCATACAACCCCAACATACATAGTAGTTTCGGGGATGGGCGGACCTCAGTTTTTTTTGCGGTAGGAAAGCTGGTAGGCTCGAGAGTAAGCCATGTGCGGCCAGGACTGGCAAGATCATCCAGGAGTACGTTGCTCAGCTCGAAGAGTGGGCCCATGGTACACCCATTGCAGGTTGGGGGGAGGTTCTAGGCGGATTTTGGTGGAATGTTTGGCCAAGGAGAGAGGGATTTTCTGTCCTTATCCACATGGGCCTCCAAAACACGACGTGTTAGTTGGCGCAGGCGCACGTTCAAAGAAGACCACTGGTACAGTGCCGGCAGCATTTGATGGAGCTGCTTCAGATCTCTGAGTCTAGCACAAGCATCCTTAAACCTTGGACGCATTGAAACCTAAGCCTTGGGCCCTGAAGCCCTGGACAAACCCTACACCTTGAGTCCTCAACCTACAAGACTTACTGGCTGTTAGCATGGGATAAGGGAATATAATCCCTGTACAAGAGATTCCATTATTCCCTACTAATCCCCAGTAAGAAGAAGCAACGCCCGTCAAGGAACTGTCCGACCACCGGCCCAACTGGATCAGCGTGAACTGGGCGACGAAGACAGCATGTACTGGCGCTGATGACGGCAAGGTGAGGGCAAGAAGCGATTTTGTGTTTCGTCAAAGTCTTAGACTTGAGGGCTTCATGACTCAGATCTAACCCCCAAAAAATATTACTATACTGTAGGAGATTCCATGTTCTTGTTCAGTATCCCTATATCCCGTATGTCATCCCCATTATAATATAATAGCTTCCATTTTCCATTATCACCATATTACCCCAATATACCCTAAACCCTATAGTAGTTTCCATTTTCTTTTCGATGATCCCCATATTACCCCACTATAACCCCAACGGTTGTTTTTGCAGAGCAGCCTGCAAGCAATCCCAACAGGGAGCCCAAAGGCAGTATGTTTTAACGGTACTCTTGTAGCCCTTGATATCGCTTGAAGTTTGCGATCGAGGGTTCCGGGCTGTAGCTCTGAATGAACCCTCAGGTGTTGGGGACTCCAGCTCTACATGGATGGGGTTATATTGGGGTAATATGGGGATCATGGAAAAGAAAATGGAAACTACTATAGGGTTTAGGGTATATTGGGGTAATATGGTGATAATGGCATCACAAATCCTCCTTAGGCCGTTGGACTTTCTTAGCCGTTAGTGGGCCGCAAGAATACGGCCATCCGAGCAGGAAAGAAATGTCCTTTGAGCAGCTCTTTTCAGGGAGTTGTTGATAGAAACCTGCTAGCGCATCACACTGCCATTTGGCATCGGTTTCTGTGATCATGCCAGTAACAGCATCTATCAGCTATTGAAGAAAGAACTGTATCCAGCCGCGCATACTGAATGAGTTTCTAGCTGAAATTGATCAACAAGTAGTTTCTGCATTCTTTTCCGTACCCCATGCCCTAAGTATGCTGTGCGCAGAACCCAGTAGAAAATTTCCGTGAACCCCCACAATCCCCTGCTATTCCCCAGACATCCCCTGCGCCCAATGGGTACCCCATTTCGAGAAGAGGGTGCCCACCTTTTGGGAAACTCGCATGAAACTTCCAAACCCTTGGCTGTATACAATCCCTCCAGAAGATCAAGATAAATCCGCAGGGCCCTAATAGAATCCGTGTCGTACATCTAAGTATACACAAATACCTATACATGTCCTTTTTCCACATATACATGTATACAGCCCCATTGCAACCCCTTACACTTTCAGCGGTAGGTCAAGCTCTGGCAGCTGGATACTGGCGAGGTCTCTCGCACGATCGATTGCCACCTGGCAAAAGATCCTGGTTAAGGCTTAGGACTCAGAGTTTACTTACTGGTGTTTAAGGGGGAGTGGAGGAGTGAATGTCGGGAGGAGTGAATGTCGGGACTGTTACCTGGTATATATGGTGATTATATAGAGATTGTTAAAAACATCCACCCCCCCACTCTCCCTTAAGCGCCAGTAAATCCAGGGTGCAGAGTTTAGGGGCTGGCAGGGTATTGCCTCTGCAATATGGATTGCCGCGGTGAATCCTGGGCAATCTCCATTTTGAAAAACATCCTGCGCAATCCATCTGTTACTCGTACACGGAATTAGGCCATGATGCTAGTCATGACCGCATGGCACATGGGGATGCTTAGATATCTTACACTTCCTAAACGAACCTGGAACTGCGTCTACACATTTTTCCAGAAGGACAGCAGTCTTTGGGGGCCCCTTTTCAAGTTCCGAGTTTGTTTGGGTTAATAATTTTAAGGTTTTATAAGGGATGATGGAAAAGAAAATGGAAGCTACTACATTACATAGGGTTTAGGGTTTGGGCTTCGGATTGTGAAGTCTAAGGACAAGCCAAACCTCAGCTGTATGCGTGTTGGCTGAGGGCCGCGCAAAACTCTTACAATCTCACCACAAGAGGTAGTCTAAGCGGGAGTCTCCCGCAATCGGAAGCAGTCATGGACTCTGGCATATAGTGCAGGATTATGGGGCCTAATGAGGCATTGAGGATTGTATAGGGGGCAATTTGGTAGTTTCCCAAAATAAGGGGACCCCAATATAGACCCCAAAATACTATAATCCTTATTATGGGGACCCTCAATAAGGTACCCCTGGGAAACCCCCATTTGAGCAATCCCTTACCCCCAAGTTCGCCACATCTCAGGCTTTGTGAAAATGTGCAAGCCAAGTGTCGCCGAGGCTTATCATGCACGCCACAATGCTCACCACAACTCATTGAAAGCTTTGAATATTGGGGTATATAGGGGTATATTAAGGGTATATTGGGGTATATTAGGGGCTATAATGGAGAATCAAATGGGAAAGAAAATGGAAAAGGAAATGGAAGCTGGGATTATATAGGGGATTATACGGATTAGGGTTTCCCAAAATTAGGGGTACCACTCTGGGGGTCCCAATAGTAAGGATTGTAGTATTTTGGGGTCTATATTAGGGTCCCCCCATTTTGGGAAACTACCATTGAAAGCTTTGAAGTCGAAAGTAACCAGTCCAGCAAATCTTGACAAGGTCTCACGAGCATATGGTTGTAGCCGAACATTTTTCCGAACCCCCTACAGCAAACACAATAAGCCCCACAGCCCAAACCCTAAACCCTAAACCATGAGCCCTTCATAAGGCGATCACTTCCTCACTCAGAGCCTGGACATCTGCTGGTCCCGGGGCCTGCTGCTCACTGGATCTTTCGCACCTTCACTTCAAAGATGCACGTTTTAGGGTTCAGAATCACTGCAGTGACTAGGGTTGAGGGTGGCCTGGTGATTGAAAGGACGATGTTGGGACTACGTGCTGGCCCTGAGGCTTGTAGGCCGGTTGTAGGGGTTTGAGGCATAGTTTTCGGAATTACGCGGTGATTCCCCAGACTTGGCTTGACCAGCAAGGGGGCATGACAGCTTCGATGTAAGGATCTGTCTGAAGCATAAGTTTGAGGTGAGGTTAATGTAATTGGGCTTAGATCCTTGCAGAAGTTACGAACTTTGGGGACGAGGCTTGGGGTCTCTGGAAAGTGTGGGATCTATGTTAGGGGGGAAAGCGCCCGAAGGTGCCTTTACTTGCCTTTAACTGATGGAGGAATGTAGCTGAGCGATCTAGTTTTGCACGCCCTCATGCCAGCCTTCATCGGAGCGTTGTGCTGCCAGGGGCTTTAAGGCTAAGGCGACACTTAGTTTGTTTCTATCTTGGAGTATTTAGGCACAGTTCGGGTTATGGATTTCGGGTCGAACCAGTCGTTCAGTTCAAATTGTGTGATATAATCTTTTACCTGTCAGCGTAGTATCATAGTGTTCTCAGTCTTCTCTTTGAGGGAGCAAGGCACAAAGAAAGGACTGGATAGCATCTGGCTGGATCACATGGGAGGCTTCCTCAGTCTGAGAATAGTAAGGGAAAGCCAGAGAAGCATGACCCCCTTCTTGCATAATTTTCGTTAGATGGCCTCCCAGAAATTGGGGTCCTGAAGGGGAAGAACATACCCGCAGGGATGAGGTCAGCTTGCTTTTGGGATTGCTCTGTTTCCTCCTTCCAGGGCTCTAGGACAGCCAACAGCAGCAAGCAGTCAAAGCGTCCCTCACAACATCATCGCCCCTTTATTCCCCATAGAAAAAGTATTCTAATCCTAACACCTGCAGGTGTGTGCACTAAGTCCTTAAACGTACATGCATGGTCTAAGGACTATCAGTTCAAGATGTGGGACGTGACAACTGGCGACCTGCTGAAACAGTTCGTCGCGCCCAGACGATGTGTGACGCGTGTGCTGCTCCAATGAAGCCCCCGAGGACGCTTCAGGGGCTCACAGCTCATTAGGAGTTCAGGGTCTAAGTGGCTTCGGATTACGAGTTTAGATGCGATGGGGTTGCGGCAAATTACGGAAGATTTAGAGTACTTGGACCAGTGCATGTGCCGGCTGTGGATGGTTACAATGGAATGTCGTGTTGAGGATACCAGCAGTTTCGGGGCGGCTGAATGCTGCAAAGTTCGAGAGCACGGGCTTACAGAGGAGAATGTATACAGCTGAAGGGTAATTTCAGTATACGTGTTGGGAAGTCACTTCCATAATAATTGTTACTTCAACATGACGATGGAGTGAGCTGGTCGAAGGCAGCATAACGAACGGATGAGGTCAGTCGAAGCGAGGCCGCGAAATGTCCTCGACTCTGAATTGAGTCCAGCAACTTAGTTACCTTCATGGTTGAAGCAGTTGCCACTTACAAATATCCTAAAGCTGCCGTACTCCAGCCCCGTATGGTCCTCCTGCACACGTAGAGAAATCTTGGTGAAGGAGGTCAGCATAAGGGAGATTCTCAAAAGATGCCACAGACTGTGACATAGGAACCTCCGATAACCCCTGTGTAATCCCTGCCTGGAATGAGCAGCCCATGTCTGTTGCTCCCCAACCATGTGAAAGATTGAAAGCTATGATGATTGCATGTGGCAATTCCATTCCCACCAGAGCCAAATTTGTGCAGAGGCCTTTGGATTGGACTTCACTTCCTGCATTTGCCCGAAATGAAAGGACGTTGCCTCAAGAAAGTTAAGCGCAATCAGCCTGGAGCTCAAACCTCCCGGACGGAGCCTCAGGATGCGAACCATGGGTCATGCCCAGCGTGGATTTTTTGGACTGCATGTGCATCTGAATTCTTGGCACCTAAGAATACACAGAATTCTGGCACGCCTGTGAGAGCGGCGGCGCCAAGGAAAGCATAGTAGCAGAGTGAAGCCAGATGAAATTCCTACTTCAGATTGTGGTGTAGGGTTTAGGGTTTACAGTGTATCTTGACTGGAACTGAGCGAGCTGAATGCTTGTTGCTGCACCGCTCCCGCGCGGATTTGCAAGTGAGTTTTTGTCATCTCTATCCCACAAGGGTGGTGCCCCCTACTGCAGTATCTCCTACATACCTGAAAATCGTGCAGACACTGCTGTCGTCACCCCGTGCTTACGTTCATCCATCAATAAGCCAAATCTGGGTCGCTCAAAGGATTATAAAAACTTCGGCCTTCGGTTTTGGGAGCCCATGCACTCAGGAGTTGGTACTTGGGTCTTGAATGAAGGGGGCCCTCCATGTAGAAAATAATGTACAGCCCAAGCCCTATACACTAAAACAGTAACCTTAGGCCCTAGACCAACCTAAGCCCTTAAACCTAAGCCCGAAACCCTTACACCCTTAAACCGTTAAGCCCTTAAACCTTAAACCCTAAACCCATAATCCCTTAAACTGATAAACCCATAGCCCTTAACCCTAAACAGTTCAAAGCTGGGGTGTACCATCTCGTAGGCTCTGTGAGCCTGAGCAAGTAGCTCTGTCGGGGAGTTTTCTGAAAAGTGGGAAGGCCTATCCCTAGCACTCCAAATTTGGTTTACGTTGGGTACTGCCCCCACCCGGTAACAGTCTATATTAGGGGTCCTATTAAGGGCTAGAAATACCCATATTATAGTTTATTCTCCAACTGTTACTGAGGGGGGGGGCAGTACCCAACCTTT